GCCTCGATAAATTGAGCGTTGCGAGAGGGACCCGGTCACGATTTAAAGCAATCGTCTGAATAAATATCCGTCCTGGTACGCATTTGAAAAAAAAAAAAAAAGAAAACGTGGGGTAGTTTTCCGAAGTAAAAGAGAAAAAGAGAGAGAGAGAGAGAGAGACAGAGAGTTTTTTTGATTTCAACGGAGAGAACGAGTTTTGTAATTACGTTAACGGGTAAAAGAAAGAAAGAAAGGGAAAAGGTTCTGGGTTTTCCTCTCGCTCGATTGGCCATGCGTTTAAAAACGTGAATTGATTTTGGCAATGATTTAAAGAGCCTAAATTCGTTACTTCGTTTTCGTTTATTTTTATTTTTATTTTTGTAATACGGGTTTTCTTCTCTTACGTTTTCTTCTTTTTGGAAATTTTTTTAAAATTTATTTTGTATTCTTTTAATATTTCTAATTTAAGGGACTAAATTTTATTTCTTTAATATTATGGTTTGATTTTTATTATATTTTGTATTAACGTTTAGATTGTGTAACCTAAATTAACGAATTTTGCAACCTTCTTTTTTTTATGAATTCTATTATAGGTTCTTATAAAAATATGAATAATTTCTAAATAATAATAATAGGATTATAAATAACGAGCATCGATGTGCTATTGTTAGAAGGAGATAAACATAAATTATCAGATATTAAAAAGTCCATATTAATTCGGCATTCGTATAACGTTCAAATAAATATGATATTACGTATCGTTCGTATTTCATATGATGAAAATTTTATCAAGGATTTAAAGTATGCAAAATATTTAATCCTACTTCTCTGTCAGAAGTATTTCATACGTATTAAATATAATACCAAAGTTTAAAATTTCTCGTTTTTAACCTTCGAACCTTATAATTCCTTCATTTTTGAAGTAGAACTTATCAAATTTCATGTTTTCAATCGTGACAAATACCTCTATGAATAATATTAAACAAAATGACAAACTAATTTTAATAAATAGAAATTCCTATTAACGACCAATCATCATCTTCGTTATCATAATGTTGGATAGTTTCAAATATTACAGAAAAATTTACCAAAAATAGCTAAATGTTAGTTTAAATATCGAATCTTAGTAGATTCTAGGATTTATGACATTTTAATTATCAAATAAAAATTTAATTCAATTAATAATTGAAGAAATAAATATAGTAAAATCTATTCTACCATTAACTAACTCCTAGATCATAATTCGTTAGCATTATAAGATAAAATTGTCAGAAAATAAATATATAAATATAAAGATACTCAGATGAAAGGAATATCTTATTTCTTTTCTGTATATCTTTAAAATAGAATATCTGATTGATATAACGAAACAATAAAAAAAAAAATATATATATATATATATATATATAATCAGAAGATACTCAGATCAATAAATAATTCATTGCATATCTCAGTATAAAACAATGTTTCTACTCAAGTATAGTAAAGAAGCTGTAAATTGAAAGATGTAAATTGAGCTTTTGCGAGAATATTCTTGAGTGTCTTTTTCTATCTATTTTTATCTCTCTTTCTTTCTCTCTCTTTCACTTAAATAACATCATAACTATTTCTACGTCTCGATTCTTGGATAAAGAAAGACATGCAGATATAGCAGAACGTATTCCTTTTTAACTATCTGGACGTTAAGTAAGATACTTGAAATATATTCAAAAGTCGTAACTGCAAAGGTAAAGCTTATAAAGAAAGATAGAAATATAGAAAAAGGGGCGTAAAAAGATAAAAAAAAGAGTCTGATACAAAAGAATACTTGCTAAAATTAACATAGGACAACATATTTTCATCCTCTCATTTCTTTTTACAACTTCTCTGGTAAAAAAAAAAAAATCAAAAAACTTGATATTAAGATTAAAATAAAAGAAGGAAGAAAATTAATGAAAAACGAATAAATATTAATAGACGAGAAAAAAGAGATAATAGTAAAATAAAAAAAAATAAAAATATACCGTCTTATTTTCTCAAATGAGATTTTATGTCTAGTTAGTATGGATTTTACTAACGATCGAGCTAATTTGTATGCTCGGTTCCATTCAGACACGACCCCTCGTAAAACGGCGAATGAAAGACGAAAGAGATCGTATGTATATATGTATAAGTATAACGTGTAGATGCATTTAGGTTTATACATGTATGTATACACATATATAAAAGCCAATGAGAGATAGAAAGAGAGAGAGAGAGACAAAGAACGCGAATGGTTCAGTGTCCGTTGTAAAGACCCCTACTTCTCTATTTTTTTTTTCTTTCTTTCATATTCTCTTTCTCTCTATCTTTCTCTCTTTTTCTTTTACTTTCTCTTTCTGTCGTTCTCGAAGCCACTCGTCTGTAGCTCACCTAATGGCCAGCTCAAGGATGCATTTACATGAAAATACCTAGAAAGATGCTTAAGCATTATCGGTGTGTTTCACGTTGCCTGTTTCAGTATGGCAGACAGGTAAGCGACGAGATAACGTCAACTATTGAGACAATTTGTGGCATGGGTAAGATAAATAACTATTTCAAATATCTAAATGACGTATAAGTGTATTTTACGTATTCATTCTAATATTATCATAGATTCTTCTTTTTTTTTTTTTTTAAGAAGAAATGATCATTCAAAGTCATTCAATTTTGAATTGGAAAAATTAAAATCAATTTATTCGTATATGGATTGATTTTCAATGTATATTTGAAGTTTAATTATTATAATGAACACAGGTAAACGATAAGATAATGTCAATTATTTATAAAATTTGTGGTATTAGTAGATAAATGAGTACCTTAAATATCTGAATAATGTATAATAAATTATATTTTATGAATTAATTTAAATATTATCATAAACAGTTTTTTTTTTTTTAGATATTATTATTTAATATCATTCGATTTGATTTAACATTATTTATTCGTATACAATTGATTTTCAATGTTTTTTAGCTAGCATTTTTATAATTCGATAGGCAAACTATAAAATAAATATCTGAAATAATATCTACTTTATCAGATATCTATTTTAAATATTTGAATGAATTTGTATTACGGAATATTCGAATAATTCATTCGTGTATTGCGTTTATCAATTGAATCATTTATTACAAACATTTTCTATAAAAATATTCATAAAATGGGTAATTGAGCTCCTATAATAATAAAAATAAATTAGAATTAATAAAAGAAAAAAAAAATATACAATCTCTTAGTATAATATTGACTTATCGTACAATCGATAATTTTCAATAATATTCCAATAGAAATGGGAATCACTTGGAGAAATTTTGTGGTAAGTCAGGATAATGTCGTTTCGATTGATCGTCTATTTGCTTTTCTCTCTTTCTATTTCTATTTCTATTTCTCTATCCTTGAGGAATCGTAAATTCAGTTCGCGAAGTACCGCGTGCGGTCGAAGAACGGAACGAGCACGTCGAACGATTCGAAGTAGCCCTTCGCTTCTCGTTAAAGGATTTCGTGGATAGATACGACGAGATACAAGAAGATGAAGAGAGAAAGAGAAAGAGAGAGAGAGAGAAATAGAAATAGATAGAGGAAAAGGGGGGGATGGATGATAGTTGGAGAAGACGAAGGCGTGCGGATTGCGGCAGCAGTCGCGAGCATTTACGCGCTTCGCAGCCGCAGTGCTGGGTAGAGTTCGAAGTTGCCATTCAAGGCACGTAGATTGCTAACCTAACTTATTTAGCGGTTTTAGCGGTATTTGATTAGTTGAGTGAATTTCCGAACTGTTTTAGCCCTCTCTGCTCGCGTGCTATCGTCTTCGTCTTTCTATCTATTTCTTTCTCTTTTTTTCTTTCTTTCTTTCTTTCTATCATTCTCTATTTATCTTTCTATTTCTATCTATCTTTTTCCTATTTTTCAACCTTTCTTTTTCTATATGATAAAAAATGTTGAGTAATGAGAAATATGAGAAATCGTTTTTCTTTTTATAGAATGTTCGTACTAGATTATTGCATTATTTTAAATGTTAAATTTTATCAATGGATTTAAGAATTATATTCTTTTTACTTTTAGAATTTGATTATTGGTATTTTGGGAGTTTTTATTTTTAAAGGTATTTTCTATTAGGTATAATGTTAAACTCTATCAATCGATTTAAAAATTATATTCTTTTTACTCATAGAAGTGGATTATTGATGTCTTGGGGTTTTTATTTTCATAGGAATTATTACTATTGCATTGATTTAAGTATTAGGATAATTTTTATATTAATTTTTCTATATTGTTTTAGGAGAATTACAATTTATTAATTTAGGATGTAGTAATGAAGAAAAATGAGAAACTCTGGTTTCTTATAGAATGTTCGTATTAAATTATCGAATTAGTTTTTAGTGTTAAATTTCTCTTTCAATGGATTTTAAAATCATATTCTTTTACTTATAGAATTTAATTATTGATATTTTTGGTTTTAATTTTGATAGGAAATACCTATTATCTTCATCTAACGATCACGATAATTTTTTAATATTGTTAAATAATAAAAATTCCTTAATTTAATTTTTTTCCTTTTTCTTAAAATTATATAAGATCATTTATACTTATCTATAGATACTTTATAGTTTACATTTTAAATAATTGAAATGTATTTAAATAAATGATTCAAAATATTGAAAAGAAATAAAATCATTTCCCATTACAATTGGACTTTTACCATTGAAAATAAAAAATAGCTTAATTTTTAATTACTTCATAAGATTAATGCAAATATTTGTTTTTTATTATTCCGATATTCTATATCGATCTAGATAACTTTTTATCTAAATCTTTATGCAAACTTATTTCAGATAAACTTGCATCTTCTTAAGTAAATATTTACTTTCGTGTTTATTACTTGAACATTTCTGTACACATTTGTGAAAGTACGTATATTTTCTCATATACATTTGTATTATCGTACACATATGAATCCTCTTACATTCCTTCATATATTACATCCACTTTGTAAGTAGAGTAAGGTTTAAATTATGTTGACTTACCTTGCGAGTAGTTCATGTCCTTTTCTCATGTACTTCGATGATTACTCCTTGCCGGAGTATCGCTTTCACGGAGGATAAACTAACACCTGGAAGAAACGAGATTATCGATTAGTTCAATTCAGTTCAAATTTCTTTTTTTCATCAATTTTTCTCTTTTTACCAGTTTTGTTAACAGATATTATCATTAATTTTAATATCCGAGTGATGAATTATTATTAATAATTAACACTTGGGTATTGAATACTATTTTATATCATAAGTAAAATATTATTTGCATAGTATAAGAATATAACAAATAATTGTTTTAATTATATTGGAACAATATTAATTTCTATAATTATACACAATGTCTTTTAATTAATATTACAAGCAAACAAGGTATGATTCTGAATGAAGAACGTAATTTAAAAAATGTATAATAAAATTATTTCATTGTACTATAATGTCATATGAATATGAAGTATAAAAAGCTAAAAAAAAAATATATATATATATATATAT